AACGCCACTGGATCCACAAGACTTCCCACTCACTGGTCTGTGATCTTCCTGCATTGGGCGTCATTGCATGTGTTTCGTGAGTCTGAAGAGGACTTTATGGATTGCTATTGGACCTATGGGCTAACATTAGACTTAATGGACTTGATTATCTGGACTGGGCTGGGATGTTTACTTAATGTATCATTACACTTTATATACAGCTCTTTGTTATATACATAGGGGTGTCTATGAATTTGTTTCTCTGGTCTACCGGGACTAACACAGCTGGGTCAAGGAGACTCCTCCCAGTATGTCTCCAAGAGGCAAGGTGTAGGGGTGGGGGTGGGCTGCAGAGAGCAGGGAAGGGGCAGTGGGAAAGGGAGGAAGTGGCACCTCCCCACCCTCAGGACAGCGCTGGGTGGGGACGCCGCCACCATCACGCACCTGAGCACGGACTCCACGAACACTCGCAAGGCCTTTATGTGGACCCAGGCGATGGAGGCTTCACTGAAGTTCACCTTGAGCCAGCGCAGCAGGGGGCCCTGCAGAGACAGGAGTGCCCCCGCTGACTCCCGCTCCCCTCCCCCAGGCAACATGAGTCTTGCCAGAGCAAGCCCTGATGGAGCAGAGATGCCCAGGCGCCCGCAGAAGCAGCAGCGAGGAAGGAGTCCAGCAGACACAGCCTCAGCCAGGCAGAGCCCTGTCTCCAGAAGCTTAGCTGCCCAGCCACCCAGCACGTGCCTGGTGCCACCACAAACAGGGTGGAGGCTGGACCACCCCTGACCTCCAGGCCTTGCAGCAGGGGGCTCACAGGCTGTCCCACCAAGGAGGCTACCACAAGCCAGCAGTCCGGGGTCCCAGGACCCACTGACAGCTGCCCACCTCTGCAGGACCCTCTCACAGCCCCACCTCCCCAGTGCTCCGAGTTAGAGCCATGAATGCCCACATGGCCAGTTCTCCTGGGTTGGGGGTGGTGGTGGTTTGAGTCTTCTAGTAAGAGCCCCCAGCTCCCACTTGACACCTCCAATTGCCCATAAAGGTCAGGGGTGAGGGTCCAGCCAGGGTAGCTGAAAGAGGAAAGCTCAACTGTCTGACCCACCCCCACTTCCCCACCCAATGGCCCAGCCAGGGCCCTACTCTGTCCCAGGGCACCATCTGTTGCCACCTCCAGCCAGGGCAGGGGCAAGCACCACTCCTCACTGGGAGCAGAGGAGACAGCTCCAAAGAGGCCCTGCAGGCGAGGAGGAAGCCAGGGTGCTGGGCTCCTTGGGTTGCAGCCCTCAGAAGCCGTATGAGAGACACGAAACACCAGGCTGCCTGAGCTGAGGCGGGAGCCATGAGCCAGAGACCCCAGGGTCCCCAAGGGATTGCTTACCTCACCCTCGCCCTCACACTCTCTCTCTCTGTCGGTCTGCCCCGCAGTGGGCCTATCAGGGTTACCTAGCGGGGTTACCTTAACCACGTGGTCCGGGAAGGTAGACGATCCCTTTTTAAGAGCAACACAGGAAGTTTGCTAAAGGCACAGAAATGATCGATTACTCATAGCGGAAAACATGCATCTCAGATAGACAGACATTCTCTTTGCCTGGAAAGAAAGGGAGGGCGAGCTCGGGAACTCTGGTCCACCCAGGAACCCGGCAGGGCGCCGGAGCTGGGGATTTGCCATATGGCCAGGAGCTCATGGTGGTGGGAAGGGGAGGTATTAGTCTTGGGGGTCTACATTCTAGAGATAGAACCAATCACAGGCAGAGGAGTGGGTCCCCAACCCTCCCTCCACCAATCACTGGGACCGCCATGATTGGCAGGCAAGGACAGGACCAAGCGGTGGTTAGTGGAGAGGCTGTGAGGCTCCGGGCCTGGCCTCGGGGGAATGGCTTGTGCCAGGCCCAGCCATGGAGCCCACTGGCACTCACTGGTGTGTTTAATAAGCGTACTACGTGCAGAACATTAGTCAGGCGTGCTGTTAGGGCGTCTCGACTTGGTTTTCCTGTCTCTGCCGAGAGGAGGCGCACACAGGGAAAGGTGGCCCTGGGCTCTGGGGGATGGGTGGTCAGAAGCCACCAGCCGCTCCGAGGGGAGAGAGGTGGCAGGCTGCTTCAGGATTTAGATCTTCGGAGCCCCTGGGGACAGTTCTGTGCTGCCCTATAGGGTCCCTAAGGCTGTCACTGATTGGATAGCAACGAGCAGGGTTGAGGTCTCCAGTGAACAAGAAGCCCGGGATGCACCCTGCTCCCTCTGGCTGCAAACTGCTTGCTCGAAGCAGCTTCCCCAGAGCCTACACAGAGTGGAAGAGAGACTCTCAGAAGCCGGGCCAGCTGGCCAAGCATGGGCTCTGCTCAAAGGCACTTAGCATCTCCTTCAGGGCTCCGCTGCCAGACCAGAACCCTGGCCGGGCTGGGAAGTGCAGAAGTCTGCGCTGCGTTACAAAAACCCAGCTGGCCAGCAGAACCCCGCTCCAGGCTGCGGAGCCTCGCTCTGAGCTTCTAGGTAAAGGGTCTCTTCTCCAGGAGTAAGGAGAAAGGACCGCCCCTCACAGAGCGTGGCTGAGGGGGGAGGGAGACCACCCACGGGGGCCCAGCTCACGTGGGTGAGCATCTTTTTACAATGTGCCAAGCCGTTTGGCGGGACAGCTTGGTCAGATCTGTAACCCCTGCTGTGAGGGCTGGGATTCCCAGGGCTCAGGCCCCTCCCTGGCCCCAGCTCGGTGCTTTCTATCCCAGGGGAAGCTCAGTTTATGAAAAGCCTAGATGCTCACTTGGTTTACAAATACATACACATGCAGACACATGCGTGCACGTACCCGTCCACATGCGCATGGATCTGTGTTGTTTGGGGAAAGAGGGTCTAAAATCTCTGATAGGAACTTTCAGTTTCCCCACAAATGGGGGCAGCCAGCCCCAGCGGGCTCCCTGAGAACCCCAGGGGGGGAGCTTCATGGCTGGTGCCCCATCCTGGTGGAGAAGGGCCCTTGGCCAAGAGAGGTCAAAGTGGACGTGCAGAACGCCCCAGGCCGTCCAGCCAGCTGGAAGCACAGGCCAGACAAACACTCGGCCGAGGAGAAAGCACTTTGGCTTTTATGTGCCGCCCAGTGCTCTGGCCCACAAGCACGCCCTTGGAGCTTTCCATCTATAGCCTCCTTCCCTCCAAGCGCCCTTGAGGGCACTCTGCTCATTCCTCCCTTCCTCTCCAGCGAGGGGCTCGGATCCTTCTGCTGAGGACAAGCTCCCCCACACTCACCGGCCTGGACTAGCGCTGTGGCCGGGCACAGCAGGGCTTGGGCATCCTCAGTGGACACTGTAGTAAGGGGCCTCCCAAGGCACTAGTGTTCGTGTCTCACAGGCGAGCCCGGGTTCATTCGCCAGGCTCAGCTGCATCACACGCTACTGAGGCTGCTGTCGGCAGTCCTGCAGATCAGCACCCACTTGGCTCAGAACACAGGGGAGGTGACCCTGGGGACATGACGTCCCTCAGTGCCACTCCCTAGAAACCACGGCTGAGGACAAGACCTGAGTGCTCAGTGCACTCTCCAAGGGGCACCATCACTCACGGGCATCCCCCACCCCACCCCTCAGGGACCCCGCAGGCAGGGCCCTCTTCCTAGGGGAAGGCTCATGAATTCACCTCTCTGAGCCCCACTCTCCCATCTGCAGAACGAGGACCATCAACCCATAGACAACCCCTGCTCTGGCGGCCCCTTGAGAGCAGGGGGCACCGAGAGGTGGGAGCCCAGAGAGGGTGAGAGCCACATGGCCTGGAGAGCTGAGGCCCAGGCAGGGTTCTATATCCCCACCCCCCAGGCCAAGTGCCAGGTGGGGGCCCTGCTCTGCCCCCAGCCCCGCCCGGCCACCCGCAGACACTCACATACTGTTGCTTCTTATCAGACAGCAGTCTGGTCATCTCCTCCCTCTCCCTGTTCATCTCTTTCTCGTCAAAGTAAAATTCACGGACCATGAACCTGAAAGGAAGCACATGGGAGTCTGTCCTGCCCAGCCAGCAGGGGCATCTCCGAGGGGGAAGAAGCCCACCACGGGGCCGGTTCACGTACTTGTTCTCCTTGGCCTTGGCCTTGAAATCGTCGATCACTCTTCGAAACAGGGTCACGGTGAAGAGGCCGCCCTCATGGTCCTCAGCAATCAGTCTGTGGCAGAGAACCCTGTGCTCATGGGGCTGGTCACCTGGGCCCGGCGGTCAGCTCCCCTGTGGCTGTCAGCCTGGTGACCTGGCTCAGGAGCACAGGTGGCGTGGGAGGGCTGGGGACTGCAGGTGTCCCTGATCATGCCCTGACCCTGATCTCGGGGCTTCTCTCTGCTCCCCTCTCCCTCCCGGCGCCCTCCACTCACCCCTCCGGAATGCAGGGTCTCAGGCAGAGAGAAAGGAGCCATGGTGGCGAACCAGCTACATGTTGGGCTACTAAACACAAAGTCAGCAGTTCAAAACCACCAGCTGTTTTGCAGGAGAAAGGTGGGCTGTCGTATAGGGTCACTACGGGTTGGCATCAACTCCACGGCAGTGAGTAGTTTGGGTGTTTGTTTTTAACACAGGGAAAGGCTAGAGATGAGGAGTCCGAAGGGCCTTAGCTCCAGCCCATCTCAACCTGGTCTTGGTCGTCTGATCTGTAGAATGGACCGTCCAGGTCTGATACGCCGCAGTTAGAAGGACGCAGGGTGGATTTCCTGGGGCGGAAACCATTCCCTAAGGCGCACTTCACGATGCTCTAATGAGATGTGGCCTCCCTGGCGCCCCTCAATTGGGACCACTCGGCTGCTGTCTCGGGCGGGGTTCCCTGCAGCACATACTGGGTCCAGTGGTTTAGCATCTTTGAGTCCTTGGAGTGGGAAATCCTGCCCACAGGAGGGGTTTGGGGAGCGGCAGCTCTGCCGCTGAGCAGCCACCTCACCAGGGCTCTGAGGCCCCCTCTGACCGACTGCAGGATTGGAGCCTGCAGGCTCGGCCCGAGGGATGCTCCAGGGCTTGGCCATGGAAGACCTGCTGTGAGAGCAGTTTCCGGAGCTCCATTTGTAGCTGCCCCTCCAGCCTCCCCACCACAGATGACCTCAGGCTGTGACTGTCCTGTCCCTTACCCCCCTCGCTGGAACTCCTGCTTCCTATCTGCTCCGAGCCAGTGACCCCGGAGAGCTGGCCCGGGCACAGGCCTGGGGCATGGGTGGGTGGGCAGGGGCGGGGACTCCCCCTGAGTTCTCTGTGGGCAGTGGGCTGCAGACTGCACCGGGACCCGTGTTAACGTTGAAGAAGACTTGCTCTTTCGTTGCCTGGAGGAGAACGATGGAGGCCAGGGGCTGGGCTTGACTAGGGGCCAGTAATACAAAGTGGACAGTGCCCTCCAGGAGAACACGCTCCTCGGAATAAAAACATTTGCCCAAAAACAGCTCAGGAGGCAGCCAGGGGCTCCCGGGAAAGAAGGACGAATGGAAGGCGAGAACTCGGGGAGACCCTGTTCCCCGAGGAAGAGGCAGCTTAGAGGGAAACACAGAGTGGGAGCTGCCCTGCTCTGTCAGGGTCCCTCCCTCCAGAAAGCGGGCCCCGAGAAGAACAAATCCCCGTGGATTCGGAGGGCACAGGAGCCCTGGTGTCGCAGGGGGTAATGTGATGGTCTGTTAACCGTGAGGTTTCGCTGTTGGAGCCACAGCTGCTTTCTTCCAGGGAGAAAGCTGGGCCTTTCTGCTGCTCGGAAACTCGGGGGCAGCTCCACTCCGTCCTGGAGCGGCACTCCGAGTGGGAATCCACAGGCTGGCAGCGAGTTTCGCTCCCGGGGTCACTGGCTCAGAGCAGATAGAAGCAGGAGTCCCAGCCAGGGGGGTAAGGGATGGGACAGTCACAGCCTGAGGTCATCGGTGGTGGGGAGGCTGGAGGGGGCAGCTACGAGTTCAGGAAGTGGAGGAGGCATTGAGGAGCTGGCCCAACGGGCTCTGGAGACGTGAACTGCTCACAAAGCAGCGCTGGTCTGTCACCAAGCCGCAGAGCATTTCTCCGGCCGAGCCTCCAGCACAGAGAGCCCTGGTGTTGTTACCACAGTGAAAAAAGCCCTCAGCTACCAGCTGAACCCACCCCTTGGCTCTATGAGAGCAGACTGGGTGTCTGCTCCTCCCAAGGTTACAGCCCAAAAAACCCTCTAGCGGTACCGTAGGCCCATGAGTCAGCGTGGACTCCAGGCACCCAGGCATCCGAGCCCAGTGTAAGATACAAACATGGGGACGTAGCCTGGGCCCTGGTGGTTCTGTGGGTTAAGCAATGGGCTGGTGGTTGAGAAGGGGAAAGACTGACCACCTGGGAAACGCCACAGAGTGGATGTCCATCTGAGTGTCGCGCTGAGTCAGTGGATTTGACAGCAGTGGGCTTTTGGCCATCTCCTTCTCTCCCCCACAGGCCCCCAGGACCCCAGTGGGCTGTCTCTCATCCCACCAAGCTCTTACTAGGAAGAAATTTTAAGAAAACTGAAAATCGCAGTGGTGAGAAAAAGCCCAGGAAAGTTGCACTAAGGAATTTTTTTCCCATTCCAACAATGTACCTGCTACTTCTTCCAGGGTAGCAGGGGCCTCCTAGGAGAATTACTCAAAGACCGTGTAAAAGAAATAGCAGGTGAGCCCTCGGAGGATCCCCAAACCGACATTCTGACGTGGTACCAAGCAAAGGTCGCAGCATGTGGGGAAGGGTCAGGAGGGAGACACGGCTTTCGGGAGGGTGTAGACCCAGATGGGGGACTTGTTGAGAAGCAAGCGCTTCATGTTTACGTTTTCGTTGAAGATGTTGCCGTGATGTTCTAGGGATGCCTGTGGACATCACCTCGTGGTGGGGCTGTGAGCACGGGGTAAGGGTTGGTGGCTCAAACTCAGTGGCTGCTCCGGAGAAGGAATTGAAGGCTACCTGTGCCCCGCGCGTTCGCAGAGCGAGGAGAAGCCGCGCAGAGCAGGGTTGCTATGGATTGGAGTTCAGGATGGACTCCATGGGGTTGAGGCTTATTCCCGGGACACAGCCATTTCCCAAATGGTGCTGTGTTCCCGTGTGTGTGTGGCTGTGGTGTGGTGTGGCGTTTCTCTCCATTCTCCTGACATTGCCACCACCAAGGCTGACCCTATACTGACAACCCTCTTGGCCCTCTGTGGTCACAGTGGGAGACTGAATTGTATCCCCCCCAAATAGGCACTGCAAAGCCGAACCTCTATGCCTGCAGCTTATGTTATGTTAATGAGACATAATTAGTGCAGGTGTGCCACTTCAATCCATGGAGCCCTAGTGGCGTGGTGGGTTACATGCTGGGCTGCAAATCACAGGTCAACAGTTCAAACCGACCAGCCGCTCCTCGGGTGAAAGATGAGGCTGTTGGCTCCTGTAAAGGGTCGCAGTCTCGGAAACCCACAGGGGGTAGTTCTACCCTGTCCTCTGGGGTCACTCTTAAGTCAGAATCAACTCGATGGCTATGAATTTGGTTTAGTGTTGGGTATTTTAAATCACTCCCCTTCGAGTTATTAAGGAGTTTAAAAACAAGCAGAGATGGGGGAGAGAGGCCAGGCCATTTGCAGAGCAGCCGGAAGTAGATGAAAAGGCACAGGGACAGAAAGGGAGCCTTCTGCCAGCACCCACGCCCTGGCCCTTATCTGCCCGAGACAGCACGGGAGCACCAGGCAGCTGTGCACTGGCAGCGGCTCAGACCAGGCCCTTGCTGGGCCCTCCAAGGGGTGAAGGGGTAGCATGGGCAGCACTCACAATGAGTGCAGGAGCGAGGTTGGATGCGTCAGGTTGCGGGGTGGGGGGTGGGGGGTGTGTGTGGGACCAGACTCCAGTGTCTAGGGCTGGGGAGCCTCGCACCCCTGGTGCCCCCAGAGTGCCCTCGCGTCTCACTCACTTGGTCGACCGAGGCACCACCATGTCCGACAGGGATTCGTAAGTTCTCTGCCACTGTGTGTAGCTTGGTCTGCGAGCATAGACAGAATGGGTCAGCGATTTCTGCACAGGAGGCTTGTGGAAACGGTGGTGAGCAAAGCAGGGTCAAGGCCTAGCCATGGGTACTGGATGCCCCTGCCCATTGTGCACCCAGGGTCCCAGGGCCCCACGGGAGAAAGGGGGGCCTGGAGGCCCTGCACTTCCTGTGTGGACCCTTCACTTCCTGTGTGGGCTCTGTTCTTCCTGCGTGAGTTGCTCAGCTACTGATACTTGCCGGAGGCCTGGTGTTCGTACCCCTCCTGATCCTGGCCCCCTGTGACCTTGGCAAGCTCGTTGACCTATCCAGCCTCAGGACAATGAAAATGGTGACACTATAGCCCACGCAGTTAGAAAGAAAGTCTGCAAGCTGGCACCCAGCAGGTGCTTCAGAAATGGGCTGTGCTGCCATCGCCCTTACCATCAACCCAACTTCACCGTGATGCCCAATACCGCCAACAGAGCTGCCGCCTGGGGGTCACTCTACACCCCAAGAAGATGGTCTTCCCATGACCCTTCTCGCAATTGGGAACCCCCCAGATACAAGCCCAGGTACCTTCCTGCTCACTTACTTGGGAACAATGACCAAAAGTGTGATGAGATATTCTGAATCCAACACAAAATCGTCTTTGTTCACGATGTCGCTCAATGTCCGGGTGAAGAGATTGCCCCTGGATCCGTGGGAAACAAACCATGTGTGATCAGCAGAAGGCCCACGGCACACCATGGGCTTGTGCGTGCAGAACACACAGGCCTCAGGCACACCCACACACCCGGGCCAGGGGACTGGCAGCAGGAGGTCTCAGGAATGTCCCCTGGAGAGCCACAGTGGCTCCCTGGGTACTGGCATCTAGAGAGTAGAGTGAGGGGGCTCAGGGAATGTTCAAAACGATGAGTTTGCCCTGGCCGTGGGCTGAGGTGTCTCTGTTCTGTGTCTGGGCAGCCAGGGCTGGACCTCCTCCCCTCCTGGGGCAGGGGGCTGGCAAGACTTCAGTTATTGTCGCCAGTCACTGGGCAAATCCAACACCTCTGCCCTGCTCTGCCCCGGTGCCAGCCCGGGCTGCTGGAGGAGGACCTCACACAGCAGGCGGCTTAAGTGGCTCGAGTGTCAACAGGGCGCTGGCTCAGGAAGCCACTCGGCCCATTGTTGATCCTGATAGAGTCCGCTTCACTTTACAGACTCCTGGGTCCAGTGGCAGGGGATGCTCGCCTGAAATAGCTTTTCTAGGTGCCAGGGGTGATGTGGTGTGCACCAAGAGCAGGGTAGACAGCAGCTCAATGGTCTCATGTCCACTGGGCCAAGGCCGGCCTTGCTGGATCAGTGCCCCTGTCACCATTTAGAGCCCCCTGCCACTGACACCCACCCTCTCCCACCCCCTGCTCCTTGAGAGAAAGAGGGATCACCCGCTCACTGCTATCGAGCCCATTCCGACTCCCGGGGACCCCATGGGAAAGGGCAGAAGTGTCCCTGTCGGTTTCCTAGACTAACTCTTGATGGGAGTAGTGAGCCTCCTCTTTCTCCTGAGGAGCAGCTGGTGGCTTTAAACTGCTGACCTTGCAGTTGGTTCCTAGCCCAACGCATAACTACCATGCCACCAGGGCTCTGACAGTGGAGAGGGTAAAATTCAGTTTGTCCATTTCATTGTGATGCAAAATGGGACAAAAAAATAAGTTTCTACTTGATGTGAATGTTTCCCCCTTAGGTTTTCAATGCACTTTTCACAAGAAGAGAGCTGCCCCAGTGACTCTTGGGAGAGAGCAACAGGTGTGGGAAGATCTCTAAGTGCCCTTTCCTCTCCTCCCAGCAGAGGGCCAGCCAGCATTACCCGGGCCAGCTGGACCTGCTCAGAAACACCTGCAGGCTCTTTGCTAGCAGCTCGAGAACCACGCCTCCAACCACAGGACTCTGACTGCCTCCCAGGTAGTCATTGCCACCAGGACACTGAGCTACACTTGTCTCCTGAGAGCCGCACCCCTCCCCATCATCTGTCTGCTGGGCCTCACAGGGCAGTCGGCTCTCCTTCCTTCATGGTGGACCTTCAGGTAGGTGGACAAGGCACTTAAACCCCTGAAACTTCCCTCTGCGCTCGCAGTGGTTACATGGTGAGCTACGGGCACAAAGAGTTGCCATCTTCATGGCCCCACATGAGACTCGCCCTCGTGAAGAGGTCACTGAAGCGACAGCAAAGTGTGGTGAGGAAACTAGAAGGTGCCCAGCTATCAGGAAGAATAGCGTCTTGGGTTTTAAAGGCTTGTCTTCAAACAAGCAGTCATCTAAGGGAGGTGTTCACTAAGTGAGGGATTAACTAAGTCCACATGGAAGAAGCAGCCAGCCTGTGTGATCCAAGGATGGCAAATAATGAAATCCAAATCTGAAGGAGGAATAGTATCAGAGTTAGACTTCTATCAGACATAGAAGTCAATTATGGATTGTGTTGTTTAGGTTAAAATGAACACTTTATCGTTTCGTGTCCCTTTTGATCTATTGTAGAATTGTTTTATCATTGTTTTGTGGTTGTTGTTTGCTTCTTGTTTGGGCTCTGCATGATTTTCTGTATATGAAATCCAGGACAGGTCAATCTACAGAGACCGTGATCAGATTAATCACGATTTAGGGGTGCGGCAGGGGAGGTTGGGCGGAAATGGGGAGCTAACAAGGAGTACAAGAGAGAAGACAATGCTGTGGGACTGACAGATGGTGGTGATGACCACGACTCTTCTTAATATGACTGAGCTGTCACATTGCGTGACACGTGAATCACATGCCCCAAACTGCTTTTTGGAAAATGTGCAGTCTCGGGAACTCACAGGGTCCCAGGGGCAGTTCTCCCTGTCCCACAGGTTCTCTAGAGTCGGGATTGACCCTCTGCCTCTGTTGCTGCCCAAGGGCCAGGGCCAGGTGGCAGCACCCCCCCACACCCACACACGCAGGAGAAGGATCACTCACATAGACTTCTCCAGGTTCTCCAGGTTAATCTTGAGCGTGTTGCACACACACACACACACACACACACACACACACACGCACGCAGGAGAAGGATCACTCACATAGACTTCTTCTCCAGGTTCTCCAGGTTAATCTTGAGCGTGTTGCACACGCACAC